ACAGGAATGAAGACCTGGAAATTCTTTTTCCACCACCTTGTGGTCTGTCTTGCATTTTTATCTGTTTAAAGTAAGGCAGCCCTCTCTCGAAGAAGAATGCTTACATTTGACACCATCAGAGTGCTGTGTCCAAAAGGCTGGCTGGTTTTTGTCCAGCTATAACAGCAGAGAGAGCTGAGAAAATGGAAACATTTCTTTGGTGATGGTTGACACCTATTTTGCAGAGGTGGAAACAGATGCAATGCAGAGGAGAATCCAGCTTTCAGGCTCTTAGGTACAAAGCATGCCAAGAAGTTCGACCCTGAGTAATCCTGGGGCCATGAAGAGCCCTGAGCTTCTCTGTGCAGGTTAGATGGCCAAAGACCATGGGCTCCTTCTACATCCCACTTATCAGAGCCACAAAGTTATTATCTCTGAACTTCTTTCGCCTCACCTCCATGTCCCCAGTGAAGGAATGCACAGTGGAGAAACAGGCTTCCTCTCCTCTGCTTCTGCAATGGCTTCAGCATCTATTGCAACACAGGTGAGTCTAGCCCAGAGAGACACGGGAGAGGATATCACAGACAAAGTGACTGAGAACTGGTGCAGGGCTTGTATCTTCATTAGTTCTGCATCTATTTTTATGGGTTTGTTTTGGATTTTTTTCTTCCTGTGCATGAAGCTCCCTCAGACATGCCCCTTATCACAAAGGAAGACTCTGCATAATTAATTCTCAACATAATGGTCCCATGTCATAATTAATTTATTCATTTTCTTGCTGTATAACTGTTTCTCTACTTAACTGACTGACTTTGGTAATAGTTCTCTGCATAATTGATTCATATTGCTGTTGATTCTCCCCATTTTTATTTAATACCAGAAATGATTTGCTGTATAACTGCTTCATTGCTTAACTCATTATCTACACAATTGCTTGGTATCATAATTGATTCACTGCTTAACTGTCTCACAGGATAATGAACAGCAAGTAACGGCTGTCCACTTCTCACCGCGATTTCCCTTCCCTACATCAGCCTCTCCCTTTCTTTACATGACAACCCAAAGCTTTCCTGACACCCGTTTTACCCCCTCAGCCCATTTCAAAACGTCACTGCTATCACCAGTCCCCTGACCCTTATTCTGATGCCTCCAGCCCCCTTTAGTGTCCTTCCCGATCCCTCTCCCAGCTGCATCACACAGAGTCTGCAGAGCTTCAGCTCTGTCTCTCTCGTATATTCACAATGTGGTCTTGCTCTGCTTTTTAAACCTTTATGCTCATCCCTTCTGTCCTCCCTTCACCGCTTAGGTTTGTGCCTGTCCCCTCCATGGACATTTTTGCCTACTGACTCTTGTAATCTTTCTTTTGCACATTTATGCCTGGAAGACACCCCTGGACTACTCCAGAAAACCTCTACTCTGCCTCCTTGAAATTTTCCCCCAAACCCACACCTTCTGACCTCCATACAATGCCTGCTACGCCAGAGGCCACTACAGTATTACTATCCCTTGTATGACAGTGGTAAAACTTTAAAACTGCTGGCAACACACCCAGACTGCTTATGCATATTCGCACATACCATCACACTGCTCCTGATCCAAATTCTCTTCACAACGTATTACATCCTTCTTAAAAAGCACACGTAGGCTGGTGACTTTGTCTTGTATATTTGCACTGCCCTGCCTGAGATATCTGGGAAAAAATGTAAATAATAAATGCATTTCCAGAAAGTTAAAAAGCCAACGCACAATCATCCTTAGCTTCTTTCCTTCCTGTAGGGATGACCCCAAAACTCCAAGCTACTCCTCCCCTATTCACTTGCTTGGAAATTATGTTTTGTTCTGAATCTTCTGTCAGTATGAGCCAGGTCTCCAAGGAGCAATTAAAAAGCAGCAAGGCAAGTCCTGCCTGACAGTCCCATTGCAAGACTCCTTTAGGAAAGACATAAGACCAGGGTTGTGGGGACATGAAATTCTTATTTGCAACTTATATGATTCCCTATGTGTAAAGATAAACAGAAAAATCTTCTCCCTTACTTCTGTCTTCCTGCATACGGCAATCAGGAGTAGCTACTGCTGCCCTTCGGTGCCACGAGAATGATTCCTCCTGCCTTTACTACATCAGAGGTGGTGAATACATCAATATTTTGTATATAAGGTAATTCTTAGGTTGGCAGGAAGGTATATTGGTCTAAATTGTTCTCCATTGTAAGGCACTCAGTTTTGATAGCTTTAAACACAGATGGCATTTATCTGTTCATTCTACAGGTAAAACATGCCTGATGAGAACAAAGCAAGATTTAATATTCTAATATAAATGCCATTTCTTATTGCTGTCAACCATAGCACTTGAATAAATATTATACCTCCTTCCTTCAAGAAATCACAGTAGAGTTATTTCTTGCAATTGAACCGGCTTCCAGGGAGACACATTCTGCTGGCGGTTTCTGCAAGGAGCTTGGTGCATGACCCCATTTTAAGATCCCTGAAATGGCTGTTTAGCAACTTAGGGGATCAGGTCAATTGGTTTAAACCTTGCCTGGGTCCTGAGACTTTGAATTAGAGTGGCACTGACAGCCAGCACTATTAGCAGTTACTGCCATCTATGGGTAGGATCATTTTGGCTTTATTCCTCAGTGATTGTGTCTTCGTTACAAACAATATACCTGTTCTCATACATAAAAAAATAATGGAAGCAATGACACAGTCATCCATGATTTCTCCACTAAAAAGAAAACAAAATAACAGAGGAAGGACTTCACCTGCGCATCCACCTGAAAAGAACGGGAGAAGATTTTGAACACTTAAAATTATCTGCCGTAGACGAGGAAAACAATGACATTGCTTTATTTTCCATCTTCAGTACGCTGGGTGCTGCCTTCGCTTTAAAACCACTGGGGCACACTTATCCCTGATATAACAGCACTGAAATTACTCCAAATGCACCTTATCATTTGCATATTCATTTGGATGCTGTTATAGCCTTTTTTTTTTAATCCCGTCAAAGTGGGAAAGCATTCATACACTGGTGACTCTCATTCTTTTCCAGCCTGGGAGGTTTTTAGCTTTTCCCATTTAGAATTAAGAGCAGTTTGGGGTATTCATCACCCCTGACAGCTGTTAATCCCCCTCAACTCTATACAGTCACTGCGTTAAAACATTTGAAGTAAGTAACAGGACTATTCAATGCTATTTTGGATTGCACCTGTGGTCGTTTTAGCCCATTAGTCTTTCTCTGACAGTGGCTAGTCGCAGATGCTTTAGGGGGAAAGTAAAAAACCTCCATAGTGGAAAATTAATGCAAGGACACAGGAACCAGTCCCTTGCTGTTATAGGTAACTACATCGTAAAACCCCTTTCACAAGCCAGCAAGATCCATCTAAAAACTGATCTCAGGTTTTGATCCCTCCTGATTCCTGTTGGGAAGCTTTTCACAGGGACCGTTCTGTTGAGTAAAAACCTTTTAATTTCCAGTCTACATTTATTTATGGCCACTTTATACTAAATGTTTCTTTATCAGTAATATTCTCTTGCATAAACAGTGGTTCTTTTTTCTTTCTCTGCCTATTTTTACACTCCTATTTTGATTACAGATATAAAAAAGATCCCAAAACAAGCTTTGTTTTGCTAAGCTAAAGCAGTGTCTTAGTTTCGGCTGGGATAGAGTTAATTTTCTTTTTAGTAGCTGGTATAGTGTTATGTTTTGGGTTCAGTATGAGAAGAATGTTGATAACACACTGATGTTTTCAGTTGTTGCTGAGTGGTGTTTAGACCAAGTCAAGGATTTTTCAGCTTCTCATGCCCAGCCAGCAAGAAGGCTGGAGGGGCACAAGAATTTGGGAGGGGACACAGCCAGGGCAGCTGACCCAAACTGGCCAAAGGAATATTCCATACCATGTGATGTCATGCCCAGTATATAAACTGGGGGGGAGTGGGGCTGGGGGGGGATCACTGCCCGGGAACTAACTGGGCATTGGTCAGCGAGTGGTGAGCAATTGCATTGTGCATCACTTGTTTTGTATATTCCAATCCTTTTAGTGTCATTTTATTATTGTTATTATTATCATTATTAGTTTCTTCCCTTCTGTTCTCTTAAACTGTTCTTATCTCAACCCATGAGTTTTACTTTTTTTCCCGATTCTCTCCCCCATCCCACTGGGTGGGGGGGAAGTGAGTGAGCGGCTGCGTGGTGCTTAGCGCTGGCTGGGATTAAATCACGACAAGAAGCCAATCTCTTTTTAATCACCTGCACCAGAAAAGACTCTGCACTCCCCTTGATTATCCTGTTGAAACTAGGTTGCCAGTTTGAATATGAATTCATCTTTCCTGTATTGCAGTGACGAGAACTGTAGTTTGTGTTTGAAATGACTTTATACTCAAGAGTCAATGAAACTTTCCATGTGAACCACTGAAAATACCCTACTTGATACACCCTACTTAGGGTTACACTTGCTGTCCTTGCAGCCATAGCACATTGGTGGGTCAATGATACCTCAGAGCTCATTTTACCCTCCCTTTCAGTTTTGACCTAAAAGTACAGCAGATATTGTTATTAGTCCTTATTTTGCACTTTGTATTACTTCACCATTTCTGTTACCCCAGTTTTTAAGGTCATCCACCACTTCTTAATCCTTCTCTGCAGATTTCACTGTGACAACCAAGGGGGCTATAACTCCAGAGATCAGTGAACACTGTGTGCCTGCAGGGACAAAGTTTTCAGGATACTAACCCTGTAACCTTCAGCGCGCTTCATTTATAGTCTCTAAGTAGGACCTAATGACTTCCATGGGGCAATGCATAGATGAAAGCCAAGCATTAAGCAAGTTAGAATCATGAGATAGCAGAAAGTTGTTCGTCCTGTCCTCTCCTGGCTTGTGACTACGCTGCTTATGCCTCTTCGTGCAGGAATTAGTCCCTGACGCCCAGTTAGCAAAATGGATAGCTCTGAAGCTGCTGCAGCCTACTGAAGCTGCCTCCAGAGCTCAGTGAATCTACCTGCTGGTTAGTATATAACAGTCTTAAACATGGAGAAGGTTGAAACGGGGGATCTGGAAGATGACACTGGAAAGGGGAAAAAAATGAACGAGTTGACATCTGACACAAAGACAGAAAGTCAGTTGCACCAGATCTCTGTAGCCAGCTAGCAGTACTGACTTTGCTGCCCTTAGAGAAGATGAAAACGGGCACTGCGTGACAGCCAGCACGCACGGGTGCATTTGACCCTGAATGGGCTGACTCCAGGTGCAATCGCAGCCTCCATCTACACCAGCACTTCTTGCATACATTATCTGCCACCGTATCCAAGTGCAGAAATCAACTGCAAAATGGAAACCGGCAGATGATCTAAAAGGAGATACTTCAGTAGTCACAGTTTTGCCTTTCAATTGCCGTAGCAAGCGCAGGGGTTTTAAAGGGATCGTTGGAGAAAGAATGTGAAAGAAAATACACTGCACCAATTTCTGAATCATCCGTAGGTGAAAAGACAACTGCCTGCAGACTCACAAATGTCAGGAATTACTGCCGTGCTGATGCCAGGCAATGTGCATACAACAGCCAAGCAGAAGCAATGCACATTAGGCAACTTTCTGCTTTTAATTGCAATGAAAACAAACACGGCAGTGCGGGTGAGCCCACTGATGTCCCCAAACTCGTACAAGTGGTTTGGGAAACAGCTATTCATGTAGGCTTAGTCTGCGAGTATAGTAATACCTTTCTGATATACTGAAGGAACATTTATAGTTTATTTTGTAATAACAGCAATGGCTTCTACCGTTCTGCTTTATCACCACAGCAGCTGGAGGGAATTGCTGCTACAGATGCTGGCCTTGTGTACCTGCATTGTCCCAGCTGCTGTGACAAGCCCTGTTGCTGTGGCACTGCAATGTGCCATGGTGGTTCATCTACTTTTGCATTTATATAGATACACCTGAGTGATTCCATCGTCATACTGATTTACTGTAATTATTGATTCCGGTAAGAAGAAAAGGTGCTGCACGCTTTTGGTGAAGGTGTACGCAACAGAAAAAATAAGAGTCGCTCTGAAGGAAGTGCTGCCTGGAGAAAATGGCAGCAGGTCGAACTGATTTCTTCTCGTATTAGTTCCCTTCAAATATTAAGTACCTTTGTTTCAACAACAGCACGTAAGGAAGAAGCACACCCGTCTTTTTTCAGCAAAACTGAAGGCACAGCAGACTTTACCCACTCTAGTGGTCACGGCAATTGCTCAATGATTAAGGCTCCAGCCTCTTGGCTCCACCGAGTTGCCTAATTGTGCAAATTACTTGGTTCATTACTTTGAAACCCGAAATCTCGGCCTCGTCCCAGAATGACGGGGTTTGTCTGAAATGCACTTTTCTCTACTAAACCTCCATCTTCGCCCAGAACGAAGAACGAACGACGTGCTTCAGCAAGGGCTCGGGGGTCGGACAGGAGGTACCGGACCGTGCCCGTCCTGCAGCACCAGCCCAAAGCTCCCTCCCCGAATTCTCCCTTTTTTCACTTAAAGGAAGGACGGAAACTGCAGTGCCGCTCCGCGACGCCTGGCAGAGCCTGGGCCACTAAGGGCTGACTCCCGGCACCCCAGGGCCGAGGCCTATGGGGGGGTGCCGGTGTCGGTGCCCCCGGGAGGGAACCGGGGGACTCTCCGCCGGGCCCGCCCTCGGAGGCACCGCCTACGCAGCCGGCCCGCCCGCGCCGCTCTTCTCTCCGCGGCCGCCCCCTGAGCCATAAAATCAATCGCGGCGCCAGCCCGCCTCTCCTGCCACGTGCCGGAGGCGGAAGTGAGATGCCGGGGCGGTGCGTGCTCGAGCGATGGCGTTTCAGTAGCGGCGGCGGCGGCAGCAGCGGCGGTTTCCCTCCTTCCCACCTCTTCCGTCGTCGGGACCGGGTGGCGCGGCCATGGCCAGGGGCCAGGCGGCCGCGGCCACGGCTGTGAGCGGCGGGAGGCG